TTCATCTGTCCACTGCATTTGACGAGTGTAGATGTGGCAGGTTTACCTTTCCACTGTTTATGCTCTAGGACTTAATAAAGTATACATTGAAGGCAATGAATAATATGTCAACACAATTGTTGTTCTGATGTGATCTGCCCAGACTTGTCTGGAGGAAAAAAAAATTATACATTTGCAGAAATTAAGGATGAAGCTGAGTTTCTCAGGGAAGCAATGGCACTTCATATATATTTAATTTAGTTAGACACACGGGTCAATATTTGTAGCATTCCAAGTATATTTCTCCATTTAAAGAACCTCTCTGGCCATCTCACTGGCAGATTTATGTGTAAAACTTCCTACAATTGCATCAGGCTGTGCAGAACTATACAAAAATTTACAGTTAAATACAGAAAGTACTAGCCTAGAAGAATTTACCACTGAATACAGAAACAACCTAGGCCTCTAGAGCAAATACACTCAAGTAGATGCAACTTAAATGTATGTGTATTTCTTTAGAGGTAAAGGAGTCATTAAGTTTGTAAGTGCATAACCACAATTGTGAAAACAAAATTCTGCATTAGCAACCTCAAGCATCGTTAAACACACTTAAGTATGACAGACTTCTGGGGACTGTTCCCAAGCCACTTCTGGATGCACAGCTTGAGTCACACATATGCAAAAAAGCCAGTTACATGACACAAACTAGCTTCATTTTCAGACCAGCACATGAAAAAATGTAATGTGAGAATATACATTTTAAAGTTCGGTCCATCAAAAAATGTGTGTGTAACGAAACTAATGAAATCTGTTAATCTCCGATTGTAATTAAGTCTCAGAGCATTTGCATTCATCCCTTTGTTATCCTCCTCCCTATGTTTGTCCTATGAACTAGTCTTAGGTTATAAGTTCTTTGAACAAAAACCTTTTTTAGCCCTAAGAATATTGACAGGATTTTATCAGTCGGTATAAACACACATCAATGTTCTTCAGTTTTGGATCTTTCCTTGAAAGAAATGTATTTCTTCAAGTGTAAGGACTGAAATATGATCAATAATGTGCTTCAGACATGAGCAGACCTCCTTTACTGACTTGCTGTAATGTTTGAACAACAGTTTTGCTCAGCGGACTCAACATTCCAGTGCATTATATCCAACAGAAATTGCAGCTATCCAGTCCTATATAAACCACATTCTCTCACACATTACCATCATCATTTACCAAAGGAAAATAGATAAACACTTTAGATGTTTTCAGGTATTTTTCATTGTGAGGTCTCCAGTATGGGATTATTTGTTTTCACTGTGCTTCATAAATGTGTTTCATAAATGTTCAGAAATGGTAATGTTACCTTTAAAAGTCTTACCTTAAAAAGTCTTAAAATGTTCGCCACCATGATGGACACTGAACTTGCAGCGGCTCCTATTACCCCTGTTATCTTATCTGGCTTTGTGAAAATAGGTGGGTCTCCATTAGCACATTTCACATCAGATCCATCTTTCTCGATCAGAGCTTGTACAAATGTTAATGACTGCTCCAAAGCGTAAGTGTCCCTGGAACAAGTGTCTAAGATCCGGACACCCAAAGTGACATTGGCAAGAAGATCAGGGTCCTTATTGATCTGGTCAATTGCATATAGCATTGCCTCAAGCCGGTGGATCCCTTTCTCCTTTTTAAGTTCTCCACAAGGGACCCCTCTATCCCCTTTGGCATGGACAGGGAAGAGTCCTCCCAAGATGACATCTCCATCGAGTCGAATGGAGTGGGCATATTCCTGGCCATGAGTTCCTTGCATCATTGGGAGTATCCAGCAGAATTTGGCTGCGAGCAAGAAGAAACAATGGCAGGAGACTAGATGCTTGTCTTCGTATACCATTTTTTCTGAAGGCAGTGTTGCAGACCCAGGCTTTCTTCTTGTTAGAGGAGGAGGTGAAGAATTTGAAGCTGCCCCTTCTGATAGCTACCATCAGTGCCCAGTGAATGAGAATATAGGATCATGCAGTAGTTAGAAAAGAGGAGTTAGAAAAGAGGTTTTTTTAAAAAAAAAACACGAATGTCCTAAAGACGAGTTTCACAAAGAGAATCCATTTGTATTATGTTTGTCATAGGTTTCCTTGCTTGTTGAGGGTATTCAGGGACTGTAGAATGGCATTAGTGTAAGTACCTCCAATGTGGGGAAGAGATCAGCAATCCACATTCTCGGATTGTCCCTTGTAACTGAAACAGTCCTGAAATATCAGAGATAAAAACTTCTTAGAACAACAATATTTGTCATTACAATTTTTTTCAGAAGGGAAAATCAAAGTTGAATTTCTGTTTTTTGCATTCACTTTCTCTGAAGATATTCACACACTGTTCTCTGATAATGTACATTTATTTATTTTCTAAAATTTGCAAGTTTATTTCTAAATAAATAGGTAACTTTTATGGGTTTCTTTAACTTGTATTATTGTTTTTATTTGTTACTTATTGTTTTAGTTGTAAACCTGTCTGGAGAACATTCTGGAGAAACAGTATACACACTTCCTAAATAATGAAAAGAGAGATAGGCGGGTGCAGTGTTTAGAATGTTGGACTAAAATGTGGGAGACCCAGGTTTGAATCCCCATTCTGCCATGGAAGATTTCTGGGTGATCTTGGGCCAATCACACACACCCAGCCTAACCTACCTCACAGAGTTATTTTTAGGATAAAATGGAGGGAAGGAGAATGATAAAAGTCACCAGGGGTCCCTATTGGGGTGAAAGGCAGGGGATAAATGAAGTGAATAAATAAATAAACCCTTATGATAACACTTTCATAGAAACCTAGGGAAGCTAAAGTGTTATATGGAAAGATTACATTCCAATATCCCCTAATACATAATTCAAGCATCTCCCATGCAGGAAGATTTCTGGGTTTTAGGTGCAGTTCTACAATGTCAGTTCAAAATGAAACCCGGGTGCATGGAAAAAAGATGGCCAGCTGATCTCTTTTGATATGTTCATATGATACCTGAAGCCACACTAGAGACATGGATGGCACTAACAAATATGAAGCAATCCTGTTAGCCAATCCAATCAGTATCTGCACAAACATTCCACTGGTGGAAGCTACTGCATGTTCTTCTTCCACCTGGCATTCTTTGCATCCAAACCATTTTCTATTTGACACTATCAATTTTTGTCTTGTGAAATAAAACCACAGGATCAAAGTTTACAAAAGCAAAATCTAACACCGGGCATTTAGAAGGTCTCAGGTTCAAACCCTGCCATATCCAGATAAAAGGATCCGGTAGTGAATGATGAGAAAGACCTCTTGAGACCCTAGAAAGCTGTTGCCTGTCAGAGAAGATAATTCTGAATATGATATCTGCCCCAAAGATTTGCAGTCTGACATCAGCTGTAAATTCCCCACTGGGAACCCAGTGTGCATGGACTAGACTCAAATTGGGAGTATGGAACATGGGGAAAAGGAACTTAAACCTTCCCCTATCCTGTTTTCCTAACCAGAAATGGCCCTGGGGATGTTATTTGCCCTACTGTTGACAGTACATATACTGGTGGGTAAAGCTAAGGTTCCCATATGGGGCAAATATCCTGGCAGGGCCATTTCAGGTTGGGGAAATGGTGCAAGGAGGAGGCTAAAGGTCCTTCGCCCATCATGCTGCAGGTCCAATCCCAGCTGGAATCTCTATGTCAAAATAAGGGGGGATTAGTACATATGACTGAAAGTCAGACTGGGAAACCCAGATACAACCCATGGGAAAAGGACCACAGTGGCTTAACCAATCAAACACAAAATACAGTGATATAAATCTTTATCATAACATAATTGAACCCTTGTGTAATCCCATGACCCTTTTGGTATACTACCATACAACCAATCCTGCCTGGAAGTTTCATCTCTCTTTAAAGGTCCTGTTCCTTCAAGGAGAACTGCAACATAGTAGGGTTCCCAGGTCTATAAAAATGATTCAGTTTGCATTCCTGTATGTACATGGTTTTAAAAAAACCCTCACTGTTATCCAGTAGCAAAATAAGGTCTTGAAAACAAAACATGTAGAAGTAGTGTGAATAAGAGAGTGTTCCTGTTGGGGATATCAAAGAGAAAGGGCATGCAAAGAGCAAAATTCTTGTTTAAAAGATGACAATGTGTTCCCTGTTTTTATTTGAATGTACTGTATGCCAAATCTTTATAAGCCAAAGTATATGTTGATTTACAGAAGGCTGGGTCCCATCAGAGTAGTCTCCTTGGCACAACACCAACTATAAATCAGCACACATTTTGGTCTAGTCAGGTTTCCTGCAACCTTAGAGTCAATAGGTCACACTTCGCTCTCCATTCCATGTTAGTAAATCTAAAGGAATGCCACTACCTTAAAATATATCTATCCAGATTTATCATTGTATAACTGAGAAAACAGAATTTGGCCCTGCTGATTATGAATCACCATTAACCCCAAACACCTAGAAATCATCTTTACATTTATTGGCTAAAGCCTCCAAGCAGAGAACAACAACATTCCAATAAAATTTAGTATCCACAGTTACCAGCAGTCCCCAAGAATTGCACTATAGAAGCTGATGTGTTTTTGCTCACATTGCAAGTATATGTATGCTACAGAATTCTAACCCCATTCTTAGAGAATTGGTTCCTGACATAAAAAAAAAATCAACTCAAATTTAGGATGTAGTATTATGGAGGATTTAGCTTTAAGTGCCTTTTTTACAATCATCTGCTGTTTGAACTACAGCAGCAATTTCAAAAAAAATAAGCCTGGATACCAGTAAAACAGAAGTCCCTCCACTCTTGTGTCAGTGGATTAGCTCCAAAGTAACTAGACAGATAAGGAATCTGAGGAAAGGAGGTTATTTTAAGCATGCTGAAAGCATGACTCTTGTGTGCAAACTATGCAGCCAATGTGGTTCCTTCAGTTACTCTCATTTGCTCTGCAGATAATTAGAAGCAGATGAAGGGCCAATGAAGACTGAAATGACTGTCTGTAGACATGTCTGGCCATGCGTATGTATAGCTGCTGCTCCAGGGACTCCAGTTCTCCATGTGTGTTCTTGAATATATAAGACATTGCTTCCTAAACAGCTGCTAGCTGACCTTATGCCTTGCCTGAAATAAAATGGACTTCCATTTGACACCCAAAAGATTAAATTTTAGAGTACATAAAAATAAAAGCTACCAGCTGCCCTCAGTCCCATAACAGTACAGTGTAAATTGTCTGTTTGGGTTTGGGGTATGTTCTTCTTCTGCATTGGGATTGACTAAATGATTCAGTTACACTCCCCCATGGAACCTGTTGGAAGTAGCAAAGGTCAGAGCAGTTAGTCTTTCAGAAGGACAGCAGGCAACCTTCTTTATGGGCTGATACTTTTGGTTTATAGGAACTTCTGTTTATTTCTCCCAGTGTACTAGTATCCAACACAGTTGGAAGTTAATAATGCAGGTTATGTTGCAAGGGGTTTGATAGGTAGAGGTCCCTGGCTCTGGAAGAGAGTTAGTTTAATGGGTAGACTGATCAACTAATGTTTTAGTGGCCACCACTTTTGACTAGAGAGGCCAGATGTTCTCAGTACAACTGACTTTTAAGGACAAACTGTTTTGAATTAGCAGGTCTGTACCCTGGTACAACGTTGCCTCTAGTCTGCTGAACAAACCATCCAGCATGGGAAAGGTAGGCAAGACTCGAGTCTATAGGACTTCCAAATTCTGTACTGCCATGCCACAACCTGTCGCTGCCTGTAGTGCTTGTGACATACATGATGCAGACTGCCACTTTGGATGTAAAGGGCTAATTTATATCATCTAATGAAGAAAAGCCCAAATTGTTATGTGACAAGCTTTTCTTCATGGACACATACTGTATTCACAGGATAAAAAAATATCTGTCCATAATATCTATCCATCTGTTCAATTAAAAAAAGACTACAATTGGTAGCTGCAGTTCTTACATAACAATGATACCAATATTTCAGAAATTTATAGTTATTCAGCAAGGCTGCCAATAACTCAGCGTAATGTAATTAATATGATTTAATCCAAACATAGTGCTTTATTCGTTTTCTGTTCCCCAGAGAAGTTCTGACTATTAACAACAATTAATCACATCCTTTCTCCAACAATGGAGATGATCCAACCCTTTGATGCATGAGCTCCAAAATCTATACATAATGCTTTATTTGCTTGTGGAATTTCTTTATGCTTCCACACAGTGTAAATGTAGGAACATTTGTCGTGTGTGGAAGCAGAAAGCGATCCCATAAGCAGAATCAAGCATCACGTATACATTTTGGAAGCTCATGCATCGAAGGATTAGATAATCTACACCGCTGCAGAAGGAACATGTGATTCATTGTTGTTAATTGTAAAAACCTGTCTGGAAAAAAGAAAATAAACAGTTTATAAATCATTATGTTTTGATTACGTCACAGTCCAATGCAATGAAAATTACATTACACTGAATTACTTTGAGGCTCTTTATGTCATCGAATAAGTAAAAGCTTTCATTATACTTGCTGGCTTATTCAAACCACATCACTTCTGCTCTATTGATTAATACTAAATATTACAGCAATACAAATGCATTCATTCAAACTCCTGCAGCTCACAGAAAAATAGTTTTATAAACATTCATTTTTGTTCTTATCAAAGCATTTTAGACAAATGAAAAAACTACCACCCTGCTGTGCCATAAATCCAGACAACCGCCTTTCATATACTGTTTTTTTATTCAAAATAAAACTTAATCCCTTCCAAACAGACTACAAATCTGAAATAATCCAGCTGTATTTGCAATTTTTGTTCTAGTCTTCTGCCTACATTTTCTTAGCACTGACTGAACAGGTGTAAAGATCACAGAACATTTAATGTCTAAGGCCCCAG